AATTTTAGTATACGCATCAGTGGCATGTCTATATCCCCAGCCCCAGGAGGTGGAAGAAGGAGAACCCCACATTCTAAGTCTGGCTGGGCTATATGACCCTGAATCCAAAACCCAAAGCAAGACAGAACAGAACATTGTTTCTACAACTTCCTATCTTTATAATATTTTTTAAGCTTGGAAAGTATACATTACATTAAAATGACCTCTAAACTAAATGACAATTCAATTTGGATGGGCAGCCTATGCTCTAGCCAAGAGGAAATGGACCTTAGAAGCAGGATATAGGGAGAATTCTTATTTTTAAAAAAGACAAAGAAAAAGAAAACTCAAATGCAGAAAAGTAGTTAACCCCAATCTACTCTGCTTTCAGCAGAAGGCTGGATAGAATTTACTCACCTTCAATCTAATCATCAAGTAACTAAAAATGCATATGGATACAGTTAAACCACATATAGACATTTGCTTTTAATTTCAAGTCAAGTGAGCCTTAGACTTTCTAAAATCCCTCCTGCAGGGTCAGAAGTTGAGGCAAGAGGCAAACATACTGGCTACTCACTTCTTGCAGGAAGAGCTAAAGGAAGGATGGGAATAGAACTTGAGAGTACTAGTAGAGACAGACAAAACAACCTATCCTTAAGGTTATCACAGTCAAAAGTATATTATGCCCCTTTTACCATCAGTCACCAAGGGCTGAGAGAGAGAGTTGGAGGTGGCATAAGAAACAAACAGCAGGCACAGTCTCCCTGATTTGTTTTCCAAGGAGTCTGCTAGCTTTTTATAAAATGTGATGTGTATTATATAGTGTCAAGATATACCTGGATCCATTCTGTAGTTTATTCTGAGATCCTAAAACAGAACTGCATTCAAAAAAAGATTTTTCAAAAAGTCTTCCCCAGAGGCAAGCAGCAAAGGAAGAGGGACAGCTGGGACTAGGGGACAGCAGGTCAGGTTACTAACAGCCTGGGAGCTGGGGCCTCTTTCTACTGCCATTTGCTGCAAGTATTGTCAGGAGCCATGAGTAGTTCACCAGAGTCCTTCCCATCAAGGATGACAAAACACAAACAGATGGATGGCCCCTGTTGGCCCAGAGTGAAAAGATGGCCGGGATCAGGTCCAGTGTGAACATCACCTACAGTAAGGACCTTCCCAGCTTCCCAAAGCTAGGAGTCTGAGAATCTGACCTATTGAGCTAAAGAGGCCATGACAGTCTGTTGGCATTCTAAACTCATGTTGAAGAGATAATCCTTGTCATCTACAGGACCCCCATTGTCAGGACTTAAAGTTCAGATTGGCTGTTGAGGCTTGTTAACTGCAAAAGACGATGGATGGTCCAGAGGAAGAGGCTGACCTTTGTTAGAAGACTGACTTGGAGAAGTGTGTGAAGGCAGATGACCATCGAGAAGAGTAAATAAAGAGTTTCTAGTGTTCTCATGATCATTTCCATGTATGTCTGTGTGTGTGTTTGTGTGTGCGTGCGTGTGTGGGTGCCTGCATGTGTGTGTGTGTGTGTGTGTGTGTGTGTGTGTGTATCTCTGGACAAGGATTTATGATCTGAAACTCCCTTAGGAGCCTGACAGGAGAGAAGCAAGGTCTGAATGATTAGAAGGAAAACTGACAAACCAGTTTTGTAAGAAAAATTGAGAAGTCACATGACTGACCAGAAAGGCTTGGGGAAGAGGGTTCCTATCTGAGGAGCACAGGAGCTACCAGATGACAAGGCTCCAGGCCAAGAGCCAGCCCTGGCTAATGGAATCAAGGTGAAGAAGTGAAGTATGACCCCGAGGAAGAAGCACACCAACCCCAGCCCTCGAGACAGAGGCGTCTGGCAATCAGCCAAGTGCCAACCATGATAGTGCTACACCTGTTCTCTGCAACAAAACCAAACAAAAAAGGGTACCATCTTCACAAGCAGGAGCAGAGCCCAGGCCAGCTTCTCATGGTCTCTGCTTAGTTGCCCTGCTTAGCAGCCTCAGTCGTCTATAAGGATACTCCCTGCCATGTTATCCTAGCACTTTATTTTCTAGTTACAGTATACTTCTTCTACAAAGTGATGGTTTCAGAATGACATTTCTTGTCAAGTATCCACATATACTTTGGCTACATCCACTCCACACTGTCTTTTCCTGTCCTGTCTTTCTCCAAGCCCCCATCCTAGCACTGCTGACCCTGGGGGGATTTCTTGGATTGGTGGCAATGTTATATGTCCTGGATAGACCTAGGTTTGCAGGCTTCCCTGGTCATCAGCTACAGCAGGGTCATCTACTCTGTGATCCCAGAGTGATCTAATAGTAACAGAAATCACCAGGAGCGGGGTCCTGCTGATAGGGGTAGTGTATGGCTCAAAACAGGCATTTGGCTGAATGATATTCCAGAATCTGTGTCTTGTTCATGTAGTTGGATTTCTGACCCACAAAGGCTATCCTTGTGCTCTACTCAGCTTGGCTAGCCAGAAACCATGAGAGCTCAGGGACTACATCCAAGGTTGGCCTGGTACTCAGTGTGAAAATTCTCTGTCCTGTGAGGCTGAGCCAGGATATCTAAGCCTCTGCTGAGAACAGGGCTTGGGCAGGACCGTGAGGAGGAGCGCCAGCTCATCAGTGACACACATTTCACTGGTTTTGTTTGTTTGTTTTTTCAACAGTATTGGGGATTGAAACTAGGGGCTGGTGCATGCAAGGCAAGCACTCTATCACCTAGCTACAGCCCTAGCCCCACTCACATACTTCTTTCAGTGGCTTTTCTGCTAACTAATCCCTTTTCTGGCTTGTATTTTCTTAAAGGACTATGGTGGTTTTAATGAGATGCTCCCTATAACCTCATGCATTTGAATACTTGTTCCCTGGTTGGTAGTATTGTTTGAGTAGGTTTTAGGGGTATGGCCTTGCTGGAGGAAGTGTGTCTCAGAGAACAGGCCTTGAAGTTCCAAAAGCCATGGGCCATTCCCAGTTCGCTCTCTGCTTCTGCTTCTGCTTCAAGATGTGAGCTGTCTGCTACTATTCTAGCTGCCATGTGCTGTGGAATATTCTTTACAATGTGTGAATATATGTCACTGAAACTGGCTTAATAAACAAGCTAACTAGCCAATAGCTAGATAGAATACAGTTAGGCAGGAAAGAATGAGAATGATGGAGTGAGGAAGGGCGGAGTCACAGGAGTAGCCAGCAGACGCAGAGGGAGTAGGAGATGAACATGCCATGCTAATAAAGGTATCATCATGTAGCAAAGGGTAAAAAAGGAATATGGGTTAACTTAAACTGTAAGAGATAGTTAGTAATAAACCTGAGCTATTGGCTGAGCATTACAATTAATATAAGCCTCTGAGTGGTTATTTGGGACCTGACTGGAGGGACAGGAAACTTTTGCCTACAGCCATGCCTTCACACTGCCATGCTTCCTGATAGTATGATGATGGATTCTTTATCTGTCTCATAGGCCCAAATAACCCTTCCTTCTAAAAGTTATGGTGTTTCATCACGAAAACAGAAAAGTAACTAATACAAAGATACTTTCATCCATTTGTAACCTATTTTTTCCTCTATTACTAAAATAAAATCATTTTTGAAAATGAGTTAATATGCAGAAGACTATATTTTCTTTACTTATTTGATTGTGAAGTTTTTGTGTTGTTCTTTCCTTGTTTGTTTGTTTTTTTTTTTTCAGTCAGAGCTCATGTAGCCCATGATGGCTTCAACCTTAATTTGTAGTTGAGAATGACCTTGAACTTCTGATCCTCATGCCTCCTCCTCCCAAGCAGGATTACAGGTCTGTGCCACCACACCGGATTCTACAGATCTTATGGTAAGCATGGAGATTGTACTTTGCGATTCCAGTTGTCTTTTAATAAGATCATGAGTGAGTCTAAGCAGATAGGGGCTTGAGATACTGCCTTAAAACGGGGCTGTCATCATTTTTAGTATCACCACATGGTTGCCAATACCCTACAATGACTACCTGAGCTTAGCTGGGGAGATGGCCATGAGGAAACAAAAAACCCAGCAACCCCCAGCATTTCTCAGAAACCCTGTGACTCAGAGACCTTGCTCATCAGAAAACTGTAATGGACATCCTCCACGAGCAAGAGGACATCTGCAGCCCATAAACTGGTCTGACTGCAACAGGCACAGACCCCTCCTGGTAGGCTTGGCCCAGGGACCCTGTTATACCTAAGTCAGGAGAGAAAAATCTCCTGAGAAGGCTGGGTCTGCCTTAAGCCTTCAGGAACCCTGTGGGGCTGCTGCTCTCTACTCTCATAGAACAGCCACAGTTTGTCTTCTCATAACATTTTTGTCTACCCAAGGAGTGGTCCTCTTCAAGGGTTTTGCTGTACTCGCTTACGGTACTTCCTCTCTTTAGCCCAGTGCTGAGGGACCAACCTCCTTTGCTGAGGTAGGTCTTATGGAGGCAAAAAGAGGATCCTACCAAAGTGCCAGGACCTTAGGACTGGAAATCTGGGAGCTAGAGAACACTGAAGGAGTGAGGGGTGAACAGGTGAGCTCCAGGTCTGACTCCATCAGAGTAGCTGCAATTCTATGTCTTCACTATTATCTCTATGACTTCTGGAAGTAAAATGAGCCTTCTACAGGGATGAATCAAAGTAACTAACTGCAGGTACATGCACATAGCTCCCTGTGGAACATAAGGCAGGAATTACACACACACACACACACACACACACACACACACACACACACACACACACACACACACACACCAATAATGTCAAGTTTAGGTTCCATATCAAATTTTGTTAAGAATTTTGTAAATCACCAGTTTGGCCCATTTTCCTTGTAAAAACAAAAAAAAAAACAAAAAAAAACAAAAAAAGCTTAAACTGGACACAGTGGCATGTGTCCTAGCTTCTCAGGGCTGAGAAGAAAGAATAACTACAGACTAGAAGTCAAAGGATGAGATGGCGTTCACACTTTACAGAGAAGCAGTAAAGGAAGCCTGACCACCCCAGCCTCTGGTACCCAGATCCAGTTCCCTCAGGAAGGTCTTACCAGGGTTCCGTCTGACAGGGTACAACCGGAAAAGCGTTTTGCAAGAAACCCCTCAAAGTTAGTTGTTCTCTGAATCGCAAAAAGAAGCAATTTCACTTCAATTTCCTTAGCTCTGGCTCGCATGATTTTGGAAAGTTCTGTCCTTCAAAGTAAAGAAAGAAGACTGCCGTCAAACAAACATCCTTCATTCAAAATATGGCAAAGGGGACTGGAGAGATGATTCCTCAGCTAAGAGCACTTGATGCTCTTGCAGAAGACCTGGCTCAGTTGCCAGCACCTCACAACCACCTATAACTCCAGTCCCAGAAGAGTTAATCTCTTCTGGCCTCCATGGGCACCATGTATGCACATGGGGCATATAAAACATGCAGAATATGCATAAATGAGAAATAAATATATATTTAAAAAATATAATGTTCCCAGCACTCAGGAGGCAGAGGCAGGCAGATCTCTGTGAGTTTGAGGCTGGCCTGGTATACAGAGCTAGTTCCAGGACAGCCAGGGCTACACAGAGAAACCCTGTCTTGAGAAACAAAAAATAAATAAAGTAAGTGTGTGTGTGTGTGTGTGTGTGTGTGAGAGAGAGAGAGAGAGAGAGAGAGAGAGAGAGAGAGAGAGAGAGAGAGAGAGAGAGAGAGAGAGAGAGAGAGAGGGAGGGAGGGAGGGAGGGAGGGAGGGAGGGAGGGAGGGAGGGAGGGAGAAAGGAAATAGCTTTTATTCAGGAAAAAATGTACGGGATCATTTAAAACTCTGAGGTCTACTGCCAACTCAGCCTAATGCCTAGGGAATAAAAATGTAATAAATAGTCTTCCTCTCAACAGGGATACATTCTAAGAACATTCCTCAGATACTTGATACCTAGGTAGTACACAGCCCTACATATGCTATGCTTTCTCCACACATGTCACTATGGAGAGGTTTAATTTCTAAATTAGGCACAATAAGAGTAACTTATGATAGAACAACAACTAGAACAATATATTGCAATAAAAGCTACCTTCAAACTCATAAATTGTTTCTTTCTAGAATCATCCATGAAGAGTGAATCCACACATACAGGGAGACTATACACACTATAAATAAGAATTTTTGGTGAAGCCATCCTCCAGTAAAAACACACCAAGAATTACAATGCTAATCTGATAGTGTGGTTATTTCCATATTTACAACTCTATGTGTTTGTCTGTTCTAAGACAGGATCTCACTCATTAGCCTCAGCTGGCCTGGAACTTGATATGTAGCCCAGGGCCTCAAACCCAGTGATCTGCCTGCCTCAGCCTCCCAAATGCTGGGATTAAAGGTGGGCACCAATACCTGGCCTATAGCTTCACATTTTCAGTCACCTGTTAATAACACAAGGTGAAGTTTATCCTGGATCTTATTATCTCCTATATACTTATATATCACATATAATTTCATAAGTCAAGAGATACTGAATTACAAAGCTCTTTATCTCCCAGAGAGCTCAATACCACATCTTCTCATCCAGATCAAGGCTTCAGAATGCCCATCAGAAGCCCAGCAAAAGATGACACTATATGCTTGTGAGCTTCCTGCTTGTGGAGCCTATGCAAACCTCACCTGGGAGTTCTGTTGCAGAGTATAGGTTATCTGGAACAATGACAGGTGAGTTCTTAGCAGGTACTAAGCTGTCATCATCTTCCTGCACAAATGACAGAGCCAAACAAGGCCTTTTTCCTTAGTGTCTGCCATGCTCTTAAAAAAGTGACTACCCCTATCATTTTAGAGCTAACAGTCCATCAAGTCAGAAGCCAAAAGATGATGGATGGACACACTATGTACCAATATACATGATCCAGATTCAGGGGAAATGCAGGCATGACAAATCATTCTGGGCAAATCTGGCTGGTAAGCCCTAAACTGATAAGGGAGGGCAGGGTAGCCATGTGATGTTTGAGGCAAGGGCTAGACAACAGGGAAGTCTTGGAGCCAGGAAGGGAAGAGAGGATGAGGCTGCAGTTGGTATGAGGGTGGCACCAATCATTTGGTAGAGATGGAAATAGTACCGGATTTGCAGGTTACACGGAACTGTAAGTCAGGCCTGGAAGCAAGGGATGGATGAAATGTACCTTGTCACGTGGCAGAATTCTACTGAGATCCTCTCTGTCATGTACCACTCCCGTGGAAACATCCGTCCATACTTCTCCTCATAGTCCACAAGCTGGCGCTTCACCCAGGCATAACGTCTGTCAATTTTGTCCAGCCAGGCAACCTCATGAAGGAGGAACAGAAATACTCAGTGCTCAGAAGTAGTAGTAATAAGCAAAAGCTAGGACCCAAGAGAAAAAGACAACCAACCTCCATGATTCTCCCACTTAAAAGAGTCTACACCATGTTATTTACTTGAACTGAATTTAGTTCTCTACCTAGGGTCCATGGTTGGGCAGCAGGCATCTGTATATTTCCTAAAACTGTATGTAAAGTGTTACCCACAAGTGCATTCTTTTATTAATTTCTCCAAACGATCTGTGACTCAAAATAGTGAAGATCCACTAACCTGCAAAGTCAACCTGGGGATCTGTGGTTTAGTGCACAATACTATCAAATAGTTAATTGTACTAATAAAGTATAAGTCAGGAGCTTGGCAAAAGTTTCTTTTTCAATAAAATTAAAATGTTTCATCTGGCCAATACTTACATCTTGGTTTTCTTGAAAAAGTACTAGATACTCTGATAGATGCTGTTTAATAAACTTTTTGATGATTTCCTGTTTGATTCTGGGGTCCAAAATATTAGCCACCAGGCATGCATCCCTCAGGACATTGCTGGGTCCTCCTGGCCTCTGGTGAAACAAACAGCATATACCAGTTAAATGGTAGACGCACCTATACATCTCCTGGCCTATGACAGCTGCTTCTCACTCGTCTCCCACTGTTATTACTCCTCGGACACCCAGTCTTGCTGCAGTAGATTGGTATCTTAGTTACCGGTCTTCAAGAAAAGAACATTAAGCTAGTCTTGCTGTAACCAACCTAAAAACTAGCCTGAGATTCAACAATGAGACATTCAAGAAAATAGAGCCAGCAAAGATCACAGGAAATTTTATTTTCTGGGTATCAAAACTGCAAGTGACCTAAAAAGCCAGAATGACAACAGAGATTCTATTGAAGGGGCCCAAAAGTCATTGTCACTCACATGTGCCATTTTTCCTGGGTCCAAACTTCCTAGGATCCCTGCTGCATTGTTTGCTTATTTGCCAAATGGTCTGTCTACCTGCTTGCCTGCTTTGAAACAAGGCCTTGATATGTAGCCCAGGTTAGCCTCAAACTCAGAGTCTTCCTCCTTCAGCAGCCCCCCAAGTGCTGGGATCACGACCGTGCCCTACCATGACCAACTGTTGTTCCCTGTTCTTAAAGAGCGGTATTTGTGGCAATGGGTGTGTGTGTGGTGTGTTAAAAACCCACACCAAATCCTAAACCACCAGACTCATTTCACTGATGGTCAATCACCCAGACAGACCGCCAAAGGAATAACACCACGACACTGGTACCCTGACCTGAAGAGTGGGAAGTGGAGAGGGGCTGTAAAGACACACCAGCTAAGAAGGGCCTTGTTTACTACCAGTGCAACTGGATCTCACTGACCTGCTGGTGCATCACTGAATACATGTGTTGACCAGGGTCCCTATGGTACAAAGAACCCTTAGAAGATCTTGGGTTAGCTACACAGCCTAGTGGCTTAGGAGGAGTTACTCAAACTCACCTGAAAAGCGATGGCTTTCCTGATTGTTTATTTTTGTCAATTCTGCCCATATCAATTGATGTTCAGAGATCACACAAGGTGTCTGAGACCAAACTGTTATATGTGACCTGCTCTATTCTGAATGGCTATTCTGCTGCCTGCTTGACACACTGAATAACTCTGGCTTCAGGATGAAAATGCTTGCGCTCACTGAAAAGTCATGGAGGCCAAAACTTGTAAGTTCAAAGCCTCAAATTTTCTCATTTACAAAAAAATTTACTAGATTATATTGGTGTCTTAGTTACTTTTCTATTGCTGTAAGAGACACATACCATAACCAAGGCAACTTATAGAAGAAAGAGTTTATTGGTGCTCATGGTTCCAGCATGGCAGCAAGCAGGCAGGAGGGCACTGGAGCAGTGGTTGAGACTTTACATCCTTGTTCAAAAATAGGAGACAGAAAGAGAGCCAGGAATGGCGCTGGCTTTTGAAACCACAAAACCCTTGCCCAGTGGGCACACCTCCTCCAACAAGGCCACACCTTCTAATCCTTCAAAACACTTCCACCAACTGGGTACCAGTATTCAAACACATGAGCCAATGAGGGCCATTCTCATTTGGATACTTCATTTTACAATTTTAATTATTTTTTTCTTCAGACATGATATTTCCTGTGTAGCCCAGACTGGCCTAGAACTTACTATGTAGTCCAAGCTAACTCATGATCCTCCTGCCTCAATTCTGGCTAGGGTGATAGGCATACCCACTAATTGATACTTTAAAAAACTGTTTTGGTTCCAATTTGCAAAACAGGATTAGTAACACAAGGCCTTTTAGAAAAATCAATAGTCTTTTACAAAGAGGGAAAACCTCTTAACAATATCTCATTAAGTAACAGCCAGAAAAGGAAGTCAGGTTGTTAAACCCTTTTAACGTCATATGCCCACTGGGACCTGGGAGAAAAGGCAGAAAGTAGGCCATGATTAGAGGATAGGCAAATAGTACCGATAGCCTTCACCCACATCCTTCTGAAACGCTGTGCAAAGGGATAGGGCAGAGAACACAGGAAAGCAGTTGCCTAGGAAGACTGCTGTTTACAACTAGCCACTAGTCTTTAAAAGCAGCCACTAGCCAGGCAATCCCTTTTCGCTTCTGAGAACTTCATTTTCCTCAGAGGGCCAACAGGAACAATGGCTTTCCTGAGTTACATCAGGTGACTAAAAAATGCAGTTCTCGAAGCAAAGTACTTCACCAATGAATATCAAATTCCTGGCAGTCAGCTGAAAAACACCAAGGCATTAAGGTTAGGAGCTGGTCGCCTACAGAAAGCAATCTGTCAAAGCCAGGGCTGCCATCCCCACCTACTTCCTAATACAGAGTACAAAGGAAAAGTGATTAAAATATTTCCAGTTATTGAATTAGAGAGCAAATGCAGGAAATGCTCCTTGGCTCATGAGTGAATGTATATCCATCCCCATCTCCACCCACAGGGCCAGGTGAGGAATGCTGCTGGCCCTGTGCTCGGCTTCACTTCTGCCTTCAGCAACGCTTTCTCTTGAAATAGCACAAATAATACAGAAAACAAGCTTCTGCGGGCTCTGCCTTCTCCGACACATGCAAAGCATTAAGATGACATCTGCTTCAATGTGAAGGACAGAGCGAATAGCAGTTTACCGGCACAATGACAGCCAAGGGAGGGAAGCCTGTGTGAGACATGCACCCAACAGCTCCCAAGCGAAAGCGAAGGCCTTGCAGACACAACAGAGACATCTCCACCACCAGCGAGCTTAAGGATCCCAGAGAAGAGGATTCCCACCATTATAAAATCCAGTCTCTGAACTATGCCCTGAGTTACATAAGCTCCTAGACATGCCTCCCCGTTGTCTTTTCACCAAACCAAAACCAGTGTTATGTAACAATCCTAAAAAACATTGTGGTTTGAAGATTTTTCTTTTAAACACTGCTATGAGAAAAAAAAAGTGAGTTTATAGGGCAGACAAAATGCAAGATTTGACATACATTAAATTAAACCAAATGAATCCTCAATTTTTATCCCCAGAGGGAGGGTCTCATGTAGACCAGGCTCGTTTCAAACTCAGTATACAGGCCGAGATGAACTTGAACTTCTGATTCTCTTGCCTCCCCCTGTCTAGGGCTTAGATTACAGACAAGCATCAACACATCCAATTTATGTGGGGCTAGTGATCAAACTCAGGCCTCATACATGCTTAGGTAGGTACTCTGTCAACCGAATCACACTCCTGGCCCAAGTCCTCTTTCTGAGGCTGGAAGGACACAGATAGACAACCAGCATTGCATTGTGACACTTAAAACAGAGCCTAGTCAGAGTCGGTAGACAATTAGCCTGTGCCACTCAACACTTCTGGAGAGATACAACATAAATTACCACTCACGTATCTCATACTCACTGAATGGAGTATGAGGACAGTGATAATACCTAAAGATTGGAGGGAAAATACAAACCAGTACCTTGGTACCCTGCGAAGGAAACGCCTCTTCAAAATCAGCCAGGATCTGCTGTCCTAACTCGGTTTGTGCAGCCTTCACCCTGGGAGGAAAGGGACTGCATTAATGAGTGGCACCATTTTCAAATGGATCCACAGGGTCAGGAACTGTTGAAGTCTTTAGCACTGTGCAGATGATCACCCAAGAAGAAAAAGAGATGTACAGCTAGGTAAGAGAGGTCACACAGAAGCAGGGCTATGACTTGAATGCAGGCATCTCAGGATGGATTGTCTTATTGTTTTTTGTTTGTTTATTTTCAGTGATAAAGATTACTGAACCTGTGGCCTTGGGCATGAGAGGCAAATGCTCTGCCAATGAGATATACTCTCAGCCCTTCAGTGACAGTTCTAGGTCACCCTTACCTAATGTGAAGTTATATATGTTGACCTTTTCAAAATTTCATTTGGGGGTGGTTACACTGCAGGGAAATATTATGTAACAGCACCCTGATCAAACACAAATCTGTTGGATTACTGAAATAATTGTTTCCCATTCTATGGGGTACAGAGCTGGAAGAGTGGTTCAGACTGTTTCAGGGTGGTTTTATATTTGCTTTTTAGATTATTTTAATTCAGAAAAAAATTAAAACAAGTAACAAAAAGAATGTTCTTTAAGGAAAAAGAAAAAAGAGCCAGATAATCAATGAACTATTTTTTAAGACTGAAAGGCATTATTTGTAATCCCAGCACTGAAAAAGTAGAGGCAGGAGGGTCACAAGTTCAAAGCCAGACTGAGATGCATTTCAAGATCTTGTCTCACAAAGCAAAACAAGACAAGACAGGCAAAACAAATCATGGACACTGGATGAAGATTTAGCTTCAAGAGAATGTGAATGAAAGACTCGACTGTAAGGAAAAACATGGAGAAGGACAGCAGGGTGGGTGGGCTTGTTCTTAATGGCATCTGCAGGAATATGAGGTGCTCAAGAAATGTTCAGCTTGACTGAAAGAGGAGAGAGGAGAAGCAGCTAGGATGAATCAGGAAGTGTACATCAGCAAGCACTGCATTTATGTCCTCCTTGTCCCTGTCAGTGGCCTCTGCTGGTGACACCTGGCTTTTCCCAGTCAGGAACAGAGCTAGTTAGCTAGGCTCCTGGGCAGCTGGTGGACTTCCCCAAGCCTGACGTCAAGACTTGCTTTGCCAAAAGCATCATGAAGCAGCCTGCCTCCTTTCTTGGACTCCACCCTGCAACTTCTGGATTGATTTTATAAAGTTTCTAGAAATAGTGAATAACCTAAAACCACAATTTCTTTGGCTACTGATGAGAACCTGGCAAGTGCTTTAGATTTTTTTTTTAAGACAGCATAGGCATGACCCAGAACACTCAGTTTCTTCCTGTGGCATAGTTATATTCATGCCTGATTCCAAATACTTTCCAGGGTTTTTCCACTGTCTTCAAATGTTCCAAACCATTCCTACAGGTAAATTTATATTCTTTTAAGTTTGTGTTCAAGATATGACTATGATGTAATCCACCCCACCCCCACCAGGAGTTGCCCAAGAGACATCTGGAAACTTCCCAAGTGTAAAGTCTGATGTGAGAGAAAAGAATGTTCTTTCATAAAATTGTCCCTTAGAGCATCTTACCACTCCCCAGAGTGAGCCAGCAAGCAGTTTGCTGTGGGACCAGGTCACAAGGCAGAGATCCAGATGTTCACACCCCTCTGTTCTGACCCTCTTCTTGGAAACACAAAGACAACACCAGTTTTTTCCTGAACCATGGGACAAAGCATGTAGGTGAGGCCCACCCCTGACCAGAGGTATGCATGGTCAGGGCCACTGACCCCTCAATGAAGCTGCTGGGCTCAGTTCTGCCTCTGTTACCTCTGAGCTACTCTATTACCATTATCAACCTCTATGTTCTTGCCGATTCTAACAATTATGGTGTCTGGAAAGACAACCAAAGTATATGATAGGTCTTGGCACTGGAGTATTAAAGAAAGGGAATTACCAGGCTCCCATTTGTAATGTTCAAAGTCATCTTTGAAACCAGATAGACTTAGCTGTGCCACTAATAAGCTGCACGTAATAAGTTACTTCCTCTATGTGGGCCACAACTAAGAACCATTGTGAAAGGGGCTAGAGAGATGGTTCAGCAGTTAAGAACACTGTTGCTCTTCCAAAGGACCAAAGTTGGTTCCTAGAACCCATACTAGGTGACTCACAACCATTTGTAACTACAATTCCAGGGAATTCAACATCCGGGCTCTGAGGGCACTCATAGATACACATAAAGGAGGGAGGGAAGGAGGGAGGGAAGGAGGGAGGGAAGGAGAAGGGAGGGAGGGAGGATAGAGATCTGTGCTAAAGGACTTCAATGTGTTTCCAGTACTGATTATTTCTCAACACCCAGCTTACAGGGTTTTTTTGTTTTGTTTTGTTTTGTTTTGGGGTTTTTTTGGTTTTGTTTTGTTTTTTCAAGACAGGGTTTCTCTGTATTGTTTTGGGCCAATAGTACTCACCTTTATAAGTGGTGGCAGGAGGGAGTCATAATTAATATGAGAGCAAAAAAAAAAATAAGCTTCTACCTAGAATTGTTTGCAGCAGTGGTTGCCTCCCAGTGACTGATACAAAAGAGCAGCTATTCCCTGGGAGACAGTACTGACAAAGATAAATCACATCCACAGGCATTCTCTGGTGAGATGTGAGCCACAGCTTCTATAATAATGGTTACAGCTTATGAACTATTTCCCCAAAGGCTCCTATGTTGAGAGCTTGGTCTTCGGGCAGTGCTACTGAGAGGTGACTGGACCACAAGGACGGACTTCATCAATGGACTAATCCGCTGACAGATTCGTCATTTGATGGGGTTATTGGGAAATGATGGAACAAGGAAATGGGGCATGGTTTGAAGAAGTAGATCACTGGTTGGTATGGGCAGTGCCCTAAAAGGAGAGAGAGAGAGAGAGAGAGAGAGAGAGAGAGAGAGAGAGAGAGAGAGAGAGAGAGAGAGAGAGAGGATTGAACTGGGTTTCCAGGCTTAGTAACAGGCATCTTGACCCACTGAGCCATCTTACTGGCTCACACAGAAGGTGTATCTTGGCCTCAGATCCTTGCTCTATGTTTCCTGGCCTCATGTCTGCCCGAGGTGGGCCACTCTGCTCTGCCGTGTGCTCCCTACACAGTGACTATGGATTAAAACCATGAACCAAAATAAGCTTTACATTTTTTTTTGAGACAGGGTCTCACTAAGTAGCTTTTGCTGGTCTGTAACTTGCTATGTAGATCAGGCTGGCCTCTAACTTAAAGAGCTCTACCTGCCTCTGCCTCCAGAGTGCTGGCTGGGACTAAAGGCGTGCATCACTAGCTCAGCAACCATGACCTCTTTTAAGTTTTTTTTTCTTTGTTATTTCCTCACAGTAACAGAAACTAATGCAATAAATCAAACTGTCTAAACAGGATCCTAGAAATAAGTTGATGGACTTATCATCAGCCTACCAACTAATGTGGAGCAGGAAGGGTTAAAAGTTCCTTCCAGCAGCTGAGTGTAGTGTTGCAAGCCTTTACTCCCAGCACTCAGGAGGCAGAGGTAGGTGGATCTCTGTGAGTTCCAAGATAGCCAGGGCTCTATAGAGAGACTATGTCTCAAACACAAACAAAAAAGTTCTTCCTGGCACCCAAGTAAATTTAGTCTGTTATGTGATAGCTACCTGAAGTTGGTTACTACTAGGGAATGAAACATCCTGTTGTCTAGAAAAAAAATTCATTCATGCCCCATGACCACAGGGTTGTTTAAAGGTGCCCATCTCTAAATATAACATCACTCATAAGAAGTGGCGGCAGAAGGACAGAAAGTAGGAACTAGAGTTTTATAGAAAAATACCAGGACATATTCATTATGTTGAGCCAATCCAAAGAAAATATCTTCCACTGCTCTGAAATAAGTGTACTGACCCCCCCACATAATGCCTTTACTGAATGGAAGGGTTAGTCAAATACTGTAACGAAATAGGTGCTACCAAGAATCTTAACCTAGAGTTTCAGGGCCTTGGCAGGAGGCTCTGAGATCATGGAATGTGGCCCTCATAGCTCAATCTGAGGTGGCACAGACAGAACTTGTCAAGTAGCTAATCAGACCTCTCCATTCTTTTTTCTCTTACCACAGCATGTGACTTCCCAACCTGCCAGTACTCTCTCACATGCAGGAGGTTAGACATAGGTGGGAGGGGTGGGGGATTTAAAGGTTCCAAGGCTTTGCTTTGTTTTTTTAAAGAACTGCAAGAATCTCTCATTCTTTCTTGGAAATACTGACTGACTGGAAGCATTTGCTCTCATGGATATGCTTAATCCAACAGGATTTGAAATGTAAAGATACTAAAGAAAAAAATCTTTCCTTCAATGCTACATTAAATATTTAGGCACTTGCCAGAAGGGTAGTTGAAAGAAATAGCAAATCAAGGCCCATGAACTTCATATTTCAAATGTATAGGCAAAGACTTGAGAATGCAACCTTGCGTAAGACTTGTGCGATTTATAGATAGCAAGGCATTACACTGGGCAATGCACATGGTAACTCTCAGCTTTCTTTCCTCCCCCGAAAGAAAACAGCTATTTCTATTATTTCCAGATGGTTCTACCATCACTATATAAACATAAGGGAGGACAGTTCACCAGAAATGATGCTAAAAATAGGAAGTCTGGACTTTGCTCAAAATTTTAGCACCTCTTTGAAAACTGACGGCAGTGGAGCACTGCACAAGCAGCTCTCACATATCCTTTCAGAGCTGCAGAGTAGGACTTGCTGCACTAACAGAAGTATCGCACACACAGGTTATACTAAGAGCAAGTTCAGCCAGCAGTGACACATGTTTGCAGGGCTGACAGATATAGTGGGATATAGGGCTCCTTCCTTCCCTCCCTCTCTTTAAAACATGGTTCTCAAACTATGTGGCGAGATCCCTTGGGGGTTGTCGGACAAGACCACTGGAAAACACAGATATCTACATTACAATTTATAACAGCAGCAAAATTACAGTTATGAAGTAGCAAGGAATTTTATGGGTGGGGTCACCACAATATGAAGAACTGTATTAAAGGGTTGTAGCATTAGGAAGGTTGAAAACCACTGCTTTAAGAGAATGCCACTCTAGCAGCACTCACTAAGTCTCAAATTTATAAAACTATAACTTTGAGAAATTAAAGAGTTATTTGGTTTATTATTATATGTGTATGGATGCTTTTCCTTTCTTTCTCCGTCTCTCTCTCTGTCTCTCTCTGTCTCTCTGTCTCTCTCTGTCTCTGTCTCTGTCTCTCTCTGTCTCTCTGTCTCTCTCTGTCTCTCTGTCTCTCTCTCTGTTTCTCCCAAGTGTCTCTGCACCAAATGCATGTTTGGTCTCCTCAGAGGTTGTAAGGTGCCATGTGGGTGCTGGGAATCGAACCTAGGTCTTCTGCAAGAGCAACAAATGTTCTTAATCACTGAGCCAACTTTCTAGCCTGAAAATTTTTTTTCAAAGCAAATAGCAGGACACTAGTGCTACACACCTTTAATTCCAGCACTCAGGAAGCAGAGACAGGTGGATCTCTGAGTTCGAGGCCAGCCTGGTCTACAGAATCAGTTCCAGGGCAGCAAGGACTATTACACAGAGAAACCCTGCCTAGAAATACAAAAAAAAAAAAAAAAAAGCAATGGAATTGTCTCAAACTAAAGAGAGCTTGTGTAAGGCAAAGGGAGCAATCCACAAAATTAAAAGACAGCCTATGAATCAGGAGAAAAATATTAGGAACTATATAGCTCACTAAGGTTAGCATCCAAAATACATAAAGAGCTTGGATACAACAAAATAAAAACAACAAATGAGGCCAGGGATATATTTGGTTGGTGGAGCACTTGACTAGCCAGTCACTCCTGGGGCCAGGCTCCAATACTTCCTAGCCAGGCATGGGAGCATGGCTGTAGTCACAGCACTCAGAAAGTGCTGGCAGGAGGACCAGAGATTTAAGATTATATTCAGTTACATGGGAATATCCTGTCTAAAATAAGACCCTGTCTAAAATAAGAAAGGGGAGGGGAAGGAAAGAAAAAGAGAGGGGAGGAAGGAGAGAGGAAAGAAAAGGAAAGGAAAGGAGAGGTCAGCCTAGTCTACAAAGTGAGTTCCTGGCTAGACTACAGAGAGAGACCCTTTCTCAAAAAAACAAAAACAAAACAAAACCAACAAAAACAAAAAACCAAACAAATAAATAAGTAAATAAATAAAAAATAAAACCGATGAGGAGCTTGGGAGACAGCTCAGTGGTTGAGAGCACTTGTTGCTCAATCATGATACCGAGTTCAGACTCCAGCACCCATGCTGGGTGGTTCACAAGCACCATTAATTCCAGTTCCAAAGTATCCAACAATTACCCACATATGCATGTGCACATACACTCACACAGACATACACACATACAAATAAATTTAAACCAAGCCTCACTGAGATAGTGAATTCCTGACCCTCCCATCTCTGCCTCCAAACCTGAGATTACAGGTCACCAGGATGGCCTAATCCCAAATGCAGAAATGGTGAGCATTGGTGAGAGTGTGGGATGAGAACACTTGGATGCCACTGGCAGAGATAATAAGTGGTGAGGCTATTATGGAAAATGGTATGAAGTCCTCAAAAACTCCCAAAAGAATCTACATAGGGTATATACCCAAAGGAGATGAAATCTGCACTCTTGACAGATAGCTGCCCTGCCCTACTCACAGCAGTAAGTTTGCAACAGCCAAGATACAGAAGCAAACATTTCTTTTGATGGACAAATATGGGTTAAAGAACCATGGCACATATATGCAGTGAGATTTTATATTCAGCTTTTAAAAAGAAGAAGCTGACATCTGCAATAATATAGATAAACCTGGAGAGTTAGAGTAAATGAAATAAGCCAGACACAGAAAGATACATATGCTGTGATCTCCCTTAGGTGCAGACTCTTAAAATCTAAAGTCTAATGCAGCTGCTTTCTATATCTATTGGCCTGCACTGCCATATTACTCTAACTTTGGATTAGAAAATTTGGGGGGGGTGATAGGGCTGGGGCTGTAGCCCAGTGGAAGAACATGTGCTTAGCATCCGCAGGGCCTAGGCTGCAGAAGGGACACAGTACATGTATACTAGGTAGATGACAGAAAGAATAAAAGAATGACAGCAGATCACTCTGAGTCACCTCAAGACTAGAGAAGGTTGTGCTACCTTCCTGCCCCTCCCTACCCACTGAGAGCTAGCCTGCCTTCCCCACCCACAGGTCCTTCTTTTCTAAGCTTGTGGACATTCTTGGCTGTTCACATTCCCAGTCTGATATGGCAACCAGCCACCTCTAAGTGTAAAGGGTTAGGAAGGACGAGGGGAAGGGTGGTGATTTCCCTAGCACTTTGCCAAACCTATTCCGACATTCCTTAACAATCCCTGGACGTCTCCACTGCGCGACGGTATACCTAGCACATGCAGCAACCTCCCCTTCCTGGCTCATATTCCTAGAAATTATGAAAAGATTTATATAGAAGTCAAAAGACAAGCAAGAAAGGGGTTGATAGACTAAATAGTCTATGGGTTTCCTGATATAACAAGACTAAAGAAGAAAATCAAAGTCTAAGAGTGTCTCAAAAATGAAAAGACAGAGGCTAGAGAAATGGCTCAGCAGTTAAGAGCACTTTGTCACTATTGTAGAGAACCTGGGTTCAGTTCCCAATACCCACATGATGGCTCACAACTACCTATAACTAATTCCAGGGGATTCAAAGCCTTCTTCTGACCAACACAGGTACCAGGCACACACATGGTGCACGGCACATAGATGAAAGCAAAATACTCACACACATAAAATGAAAAAAAAATCTAAAACCAGAGAAAATATAAAGACAAGAAGTGGTAGATACCAGGAACAGTAGAGAGTTCTGAAGGTAACCTCTAGAAGTATCTATTTGGCTCAAATCACAGTAATGTGGACTCCAGGAGCCATGTCTGTATCCTTATTCTAAATGCTCAGTCAGACACAGATTTGGCCCCTTGAGTCTGTAAGTCTCAGCAGTGGCCCAGGGGTTAAAATATTTAAGAAGATCAGGCCTCTGGCCTCTGATCTGCCTGCTCCTGCAGGGCTGGCCCCAGTAACCTTAGAGAGTTATGCTCCCTTAAGCAGAGCATTCCACATCTCCCTAATAGCAGATGGCAGTGATTTCTGATCAGATATCAGGAACATAAAAAAGGCTGAGCAGTGGTAGGTGGTGCACACCTTTAACCCCAGCAGTCAGGAGGCAGAGGCAGGCAGATCTCTAAGTTCGAGGCCAGCCTGGTCTACAGAGTTCCAGGACAGTGAGGGCTACACATAGAAAACCTGTCTCAAAAAACCAACCAACCAACCAACCAACAAATAAATAAATAAACAAGATTTTTAAATTCCACCAAAAATACAAACTTTTAGCTGAGTTCAGTTGAGAATCACCAAACATCTGAAGAGTGCTACTACCAAGGCAGTCAACAAACTGAAGATCTTATACTACAGGACAGAGAGACACACAGCAACTTAGAGCCTACAGAGACTTAAGAGTTTTGAATCTCTGAGAGATTTCAAAGGATATTATTATGCCCTTGAGGAAAGAATCATCTAGGTAGTCTTGAAATTAAAAAGTGTATTGTTAAATAAAACATTTACCAGAATGGGCACCAGTGAAGAACGAGGTAAAAGAGGAAGACAGAGCCAATGATTAAGGAAGCAGCCCTAAAGGAGGAGGTAGAGAATTAGAAAGAAGCAGTGTGCAGCAGATTACAAGTTACAATAGTCATGTAGTAGGAGTTCCACAAAGAGAGAACAGAGGAAACAAATCACAAAGATTACTCCAAGAAAGAAATAAAAGAAAACAATTTATTTGAACTTAAGAAATTTGAGTTAGGCATGGTGGCTCACACCTTTAACCCCAGCACTAGGCAGAGGCAGGTGGATCTCTGAGTTCAAGTCCAGCTTGGTCTACACAGCGAGTTTCAGAGTGAGGACATCTTACCTTTCAGAAAGTTGTCGGATCTGTGGGATTCCCATGTATTTGTGAAAGTGCTCCAGAACATTCATTACGCCCTGAAGGAGATTAGCAACTTCTCCGTACTGTCTGCGCCTGGTCATGGCTCTGCAAGGACAGAAACGGAGAACTAGAAACCAAACACTAAAGACACATATAGAGGTATGGGATGACTTGAATAGCTCTGAAACAGGAAGCAGCCAGATTTAATAAAACTTCCCAAGTGCTGATTATGTATGGTGCTGAGCACTGGGGAAGGAAAAACATAAGGATTTATCTTCAACTCTCCAGGTGACATTGTTCAATAACCTAATAGCAAGGAAGGTAAATTAAGTTCTAAATAGAATGTAAGTTACAAGCCACGGGGCACAAAAGAATGTGTGTGCTGGATACTCATTGGGTGGCAGGAGGGACTATGGGCAGACTAAGGGTTTGGGTTGGCACTGAATGAGGAGCACAATTTTAAGGGAATATTGTATAAAATGTCACTGAGGATTGTGGCACACAAGAGAACCAAACCATTTTTCTAGATTACAAAAGGGGTGACTGTTTGTGATTTCAAGTTAGCTGCAATCTGTAGTTTTAATCCAATGATAAATGACTGCATCAAAGATGTTGACCTGCCCCACCGCTAAGGGTAACATGAAGCTTAAGTAAAAGATGCTGGTAAAATCAACAGTTATATGTGGCAACAAAGTACAAATTATTAGGTCTAAATTTTTCTCTGAGGTTTGCTTCCACATTAAACGTGTGACTTCCATTACAAGACATTTCAAGGAAAGGTCAAGTTCACTGACACCTCTACCTGCTCATACAAAATGCTTGGTGGGAAGGAAGGCAATGAGCCAGGAAGCCCGTTACCCATGGTAGGCCCACTGGAGGCTAGGAATGATATAGCCCTTCCTCCTTCTTTCTGGGCATCCTCCATTCCTGCCACATCTGCATTTCTGTGGAAGTTGGTCTGTCTGCATGTGAAATTCCATTATGACTAGGGTGGGGGAATCTGCCTGAAACTCCCCCACAAACAGGAGCCGGAGTGCTAGAGAAGGAGGCTTTGAATCACTGCTCCGTGGTAAACAACCAGCAACTTCTTTTAATACTGCTTCTAAATGTGCTAAACAGAAAGCTACAATCTTGAAAACATGGGTTTTAGAAAAAAGTGGGTTGAATGATACATCAAAGATTTGTTTACAAATGGTCTCTTTGGTGAGGTGCAATTCAGCCCAAGAGAAGGAGGAGAGCTGCCAAGGCAGAGGCCCCAGGGAGTTACTGAGCTGAATGAATCACTGTCTGACTTAACTGGTCTAGATCTATCACACCAAACGACCCATTTCTCAGGGTCATTTTCATGGGATTTCTGTCACCTCCTCAGGTCACCTGTCCATCATTTTTAAATTATTATTATTAAGGCAGATGTTTGTTTTTTGCAGTGCTGGAGATGGAGCCCAGGGGGTTTTTGGTTTTTGGTTTTGGTTTTTCTGGGACAGGGTTTCTCTGTATTGTTTTGGAGGCTGTCCTGGAACTCATTCTGTAGACCAGGCTGGTCTCAAACTCACAGAGATTCACCTGCCTCTGCCTCCCGAGTGCTGGGATTAAAGGCGTGTGCCACCGATGCCCGGCAGAACCCAGGGTTTTGAGAATATCGAGTGGGCACTCTGCCACTGAGATACATCCCCAGCTCTTTTAGGTTGTTAGGTTGTGAACACCAAAAGTGACTGACCACGTGATCAATGTTCCAAAAGTGGGGCAGGATAGTGAGGCTGGCTTGGCTGGGAAGTGAGTAACTGCATGAAGCTACTTTCCTTCTATGGAGCACTTCCCTTGGGCCCCCTGAGAAAGTTCACACTGCTTACTTACTCCAGGGAATCAACCCCACCAGCCAGCATGTGCAGGTGGTTCAGTGTCGTGATTGAGGTGGTCAGGTGGCGCTTGGCATGGTCTAACTGCTTAATATCTCGGGTGATTTCCTTCACCTAAATGTTGAAAACAACAGGAAAAAAGGGGAGAAGGGTAAGAAAGCTGTAAACACACCTTCAAGTCACTCTACAAGAAAATCATACACATAAAATTATTTAAAACAACCTCACGTTAGCCCCTAGAAAAAATAAAAATATCCTCACAATATAAAACTAAAATAATTTACAATTATTTCCTCTTTTGTTTGTTTCTTTCTCTCTTTTAAAGATATATTTTTGGGCTGGGTGTGGTGATACATGCATGCCTTTAATCCCAGTTACTTACAAGGCAGTTGTAGGCAGAGCTCTGTGAGTTCTAGGCCAGCCTGTTCTACATAAGTGAGCTTCAGGGCAGCCAGGGCTAGGTACAGAGACCCTGTCTTTAAGGGGGACAAAGGCAAAATATAAAAAGATTTATTTTTCTTGTTTTATGTATATATGTGCATACTGGAGCCCACAGAGGCCAGAAGAGGGCACTGGGTCCCTGGAGCTAGAGTTAAGACGGTTGTGAGCAGCCTGATGTGGGTGCTGGAAATCAAACTAGGCCCCTTGTAAGAACAGCAAGTGTTCTTAACGCTGAGCTATCTCTCCAGTCTTCAGCTTCTTTGTTTTTATTGATACAGGGTCTTGCTATGTAGCACTGGCTGTCCTTGAACCCGTTATGTAAGCCAGGCTGGCCTTAAAGGTTGGTGGCAATCTTCCTGCCTCTGCTTCCCAAGCCCTGGGATTATAGGGTGTACCACTGTATCCAGCTCTGTCCCTTTGGTCTGTATCTACCACATGTAAATGACCCCTTTCTTAAAGTCATTCTTTTGGGCTGGGTGTGGTGGCACATGCCTATAATCCTATCTATCACGGAAAGGCTGAGCCATGATGATCACAAGTTCATACACAGCCTGGGCTACACACTGAATTTAAGGCCAGTTTGGATTACCTAACAAAACCTATGTCAAATGTTTGTTTAATTTTTGTTTTTAAATTTGGGATCTCTTCAGATTTCACAGCTAGGGTCATAAAACCCTTAAGAGAAAGAAATCTTTATTCTTTGCTCTTGATGGAGCATAGCATTGAGCATAAGGGTAGGGAAGTCATGCCCAGCATAGCCCCCTGCAGTAAGTTGCCTTCTGCCACTACGGGTGCCAGACGCAGCTTGTTGCACTGAGGCAGTCTTTTTGAAGTTATAGTTTATTCCTGATTGCAAGACTAAAAAAAGATAAAAATCCAGTGCTTTTGGAAAGCTTAACGTGTAACCTCCTAAGAGAAGGGCAGCCTGGGGAGCAAAAGCTGCCAGTTGTTCTGGTAGAGCTCAGAGAATAAAGCATAATGTGGGAATACAATGTCTTCCAGTCACTCCCAGCCTCCATTTCACTAACACACAGGTGAAGACTTTCACTAGAGTCTACAATGACCAAGAAACATTCTTGTTTGCGTGCGTATGTATACACATGCCACGGTGTGTGTATATGAAGGCCAAAGGACAACCTGTGAATCTGGTTATCATTTTCCATCTTGTGAGTCCCAGGGATCAAACTCAGGCCCTTAGGCTTGGTGGCAAGCATCTTTACTTACTGAGTCATCTTGCCAGCCCAGGGGAAACCTTTTTAATAGCAACTTGGTTTGCTTTCCCAGGCTTTCTGACGCCTGAAAAGAAAGGAGTTCCATGGATGCCAAGCACAAATATTCTAACCAGTAGATACATACACATTGCAGTGAGGTGAAGAATCCTATAGTGAGTTAAGCTCATGTGACCTGATTGTTAGTTTAACCACTCTAGGTAAACTGGTAAAGACAATTTCTGCTGCATAGCCACAAGCCTTTACTGCACAAGGCCCTGAGTTCTATCACTATCACCACTACAGGAAAAAGAAACTGAGTGTGTGTCAAAAGAAGACGTGAAAGGACACAATACACCTGATAGCACACTTCCAACACTGAGGTTATCATGGCTCGAAAGCCATCCATTGTCTCTTTCTGGGCTACTTGACTTCAGTCCTACCCTTATTTTTGAGAGAGACAAAGCTTCAGCACATAGCCAAGACCTTTAGACCTCTTTTTAAATTTTTTTATTTATTTTTATTTCATGCACATTCAGTTTTTTGCCTGGATGCATGTCTGTGTGAAGGTGTCAGGTCCTCTGAAATGGGAGTTATAGGCAATTATGAGCTGCCATGTGAGTACAGGGAATTGAACCTAGGACCTCTGGAAGAGCAGCCAGTACTCTGATCTGCTGAGCCATCTCTTCAGCTGGATGACCTTTAACTCTTTATTGTCCTGCTTAGCCTTCCCCGTGCTGACTGAGCATACAGTTGCATATACCATACCCAGCTCTGGTCTGGGAGGCTTTAACTACCATTTCGTTTGTCTAATGTGCATGAACATTTTGCCTGCATGTATGTCTGTGTACCACTTGCATGCCTAGAAGGGATATCAGATTCCTTGGAACTGGAGTTACAGATGGTTGTGAATTGCCATGTGGGTGTTAAGAATCAAACTGGGGTGGAATAGTGGTAGTGAATGCCTTTAATCCCAGCACTCAGGAGGCAGAGGCAGGTGGATCTCTGAGTTTGAGGCCAGCCTGGTCTACAGACTGAGTTCCAAGATATCCAGGGCTACATAGAGAAACCCTGTCTCAAATAACCAAAAAAAAAAAAAAAGACTCAAACTGGAGTCCTGGGGGTCCTCTGAAAGAGCAACCAGCTCTAAACTGCTGAGCCATCTCTCCAAACCAACCACTGGTTTTAAACTACTCATCTATGCCTCTTCTCATCCCTGCATTCAACAGCCAACAAATCCTCTTCCTCTGACTCTATCCTTTCTCATAGCTCTGCACCATAGCTCACTGGTCTTTTTATTCCCAGGATCTTGTATCACATATCCTGTGTTGTTTTAGAGTGAACTACCTATTATTCCCTAATCAGAATCTTTTTTAAAAATTACTTATTTTTATTGTATGTGCATTGGTGTTTTGACTGCATCCGTTTCTGTGTGAGGGTGTCAAGATCTTGGGAGTTACAGGCAGTTGTGAGCTGCTATGTGGGTATTGGGAATTGAACTTTTAACCACTGAGCCATCTTTCCAGCCCTCTAAACAGAACCTTTAATGGCAAGGCATGCAAGGGATGCTCAGGGCAAATGTATAAAAGGCTATTCTGCCAAACTGATTGCTGAAATTAATTGCAAAGGTCATTCATGGGCATCCAAAAAGGTCAGAGCAAGATATGGTAGATTCGGATTTAAAAAATACAGGGCTGAATCTCAGTTCTACCAGCTACACATTCTGTGTCTCAGGCCAATTTTCTTGTTGAGTATCAGCTTCCTCATCTACAAAATGAGTAATCAAAATAAATATATAAATAAAACAACAGCAATGACACTAAATTTCACTGCAAGGTTGTCAGGAGGGCTACATCAAATCACTTGTATAAAGGAATTGGCATTGTACTTGGGCATCTTGAGAGATATTGGCAAGTATTGATTCCCCTATCATTGTGTCCCACTTGGCTGGAAGACAGTGTGTAGTCCAGAACAGCAGCTTAGAATCATGATATTATTGCTGAGCATAAAACCTGAGTATAACAGCTGAGTGTTTGAGAGGCAGAGGCAAGTGGATCTCTGTGAGTTCAAGGCCAGCTTGATCTATACAGAGTTTCAGGTCAGAGCTACATAGTAAAACCCTGTCTCAAAACAAACAAACAAAGTTAAGTACAGCAAACTCTAGCAAAAGTCATCTTCACATGATAATCACACTGCTTGGTGTTGTGCACTGTACTGGTGAGAAAATGCAGATTCTTAGGTACTCTGTTCAGAGATCCTGTGAGACAGACATTATTATTATTTCATAGTTGAGGAAACTGTCATTTAGATGTATCACATGACTCAGGACCTGGGGAGCAGCTGTGGTGAAGGCTGGGTTCCTGGTCAGTGCGCCTTCTGAGCTCATCACCTACAAATTCAGAGTGGGAATTAATGCAAGCAAACTGTGTGCATGCATCCTGGACATGGTAGCATCACCCCAGACCTGGGCCAGTGTTAGTGAGCTACTTACCAGACTATATCTCAGACACCTTAACTGGGAAATACAGTTTAGAAACATGCTAGAGAAAGGCATCCAAAATGACTAGGAAACTATTTGTGGCAGGTTGGGGGATGGGGGTGGGTTGTTTCCTATTTGAAAGCACCTGTAAATGTGGTGCAGCAAGGCTGGTGAGTCAGCCCTGTCTAGCAGCTCCTCTGAGGCAGTCCGGGATACACTCACAGAGAGGACTGCATGACTGAGATGGGCAGGCAGGGGGAAGAAGAGCCTGGTAATCACCGTGACTGGATGAGATGCTAACTTCCTGCTCTGGTGCAAACACATGAGGAAGAAACCTAAACTCACCATTTGTTCTGACTTTTCTGCTTTGTCTTTGATATCCTTGATTTTGCCAAAGAGCTGTTGAATGGCTTTCTGGGCTTCTTCGAGTGCCTAGAATAAAGAGAAGTAGGAAAAAACAAAAGAGAGAGAGAGAGAAGCAATGAGAGTAAGCACTAGTTACTATGTTATAATCAATTCAGGTGTCCTGAAAATTTTGATCAGAAACTCTCTTGATTAGTTGTTCTTACACGAACAGTTTCACTGCACCAGAATAGTTGAGTGTGATAAAGCTCATATATGAGCACAAGTCATTTCTAAGAACTTTTAGTAATCTACATCATAAAATTTAAATTCAGGCTTTGGTTTTCTGAGCAGAGCCTTATTAGGTAGCCATGGTTGGACTAGAACTCTCTGTAGACCAGGCTGACCTCAAGCTTACAGCAATCTGCCTCTGCCTTTCTCAGTGCTGGGATTATAAGCATGTGCTACTATATTGGGCGTAAAGTTTCAATTTAGAACTGAACTATTCCCTCTACTTGGTGATTACTATACATGTTACTGATAACAAAAGGACACACATCTGTCTCTCAGTGTATACATGAAGCATTGAAGCTAGTAGTGAGGCAAATGTTTCTAAGGGAATAGCCCCACAAAGATGGATGGGCCACACAAAAAACATTAGCGCTCACACATCGCCTGCAATAGGAGGGGAAATGAACGAGTAAGCGCTACAGTTACACATGTGGAGGGCTCATGGGCTCTGGTTTGTGATAGCCCACAGCTGTTCAGTCACGCCAGTGAGAATTTCATTCACTCTTTCAGTCACTCAAGTACATTCTGATTAGGTGCCTGTATGAGGGGAGAGGGAAGTCGAGGCGAGGCAGGGGAGAACTGAGCCCTCAGATATTCCAGCTGTCTGGAAGAAAGGGCAGTGTCAAACTTTCAAGAGAGAAACCACCATCAGCAGATAAGCCAAGGACCACAACGTCACCAAACCCGAACAAGTATGTGAGGGTGAAAAAGAGCACTCACTCTTTACAGTGGCCTAAGACAGAAGACTGCCACCAGGGAGGATGCAGAGATTGTGACAAAAGCAGATCACAGGGCTAGATAGGGAGAGGGGAGCAAACAGTGGTGACATGGTGAGGAGAGTGGTACAAAGCTAGGCTGGCAAATGATAACCCAGATGTGTCTGCCACTTGTGTGGTAAATAATATGGTTTGAGAATACAGCCTAACTTGCTCATTTTCATTATACAATGCCAGCAAGGGATAGCTACAATATCACATGGCCCACAAAGACGAAAATACTTACCATCTGGCCCTTAATAGGAAAAGATGATTGAATTAGACATGTGGCACATGCCTATGATTTCAGTACTTGGTAGTCTGAGGCAGGAGGATTGCCATGACTTGGAAGTGACCCTGAGCTACTTAGGGAAACCTTTTAAAAAGGAAGGAAGGGAGGCAGGCAGGCAGGCAGGCAGGCAGGAAAATGTTTGTTAGACTCCAGCAGACTGCCTTTGATAGGTTTTTTTGCTATGACTAATGAGGTGTGAAAAAGCAGCAGCAAATGAGTGGAGGAATTCTCAAAGGGAGAGGTGCTTGCACACTCTGCTATGCAAATAGTTCAGAAGGAGAGGATTGGTTGTGGAGTTCTGGGATAATTGTGGAAGAGGATTGTTTTCATAATTCTTTGTTTTTTCAGTGCTCAGAATAGAACTCAGAACTTCTATAAAGTTATTCATTTACTTTGGAAGTACTAGCTGTCCATCAGTTGTATATACCCAAGGACATGAATACTCAAGGCAATTATCCATTTGGGGTTAGCTAGGATAGTCCCACTATGTGATGGGACTGCATCATGTAACAAAAATAAAGTTATTCTTGCTATATTATTATTTTAGGTTGGCTTGCATTATTTTGTTTTGTTGGAACATGATCTCATGGAGCCCAGGCTTCCCTAGGACTTCATATGTATCCTAAGAGGACCTTGAACTTCTAATCCTCCTGCCTCTAGTGCCAGGACAACAGACATGTAATTACTACCAAGTGGTAATATGCAGTTGTAGGTACCAAACCCAGGGTTTCACTCACGCATGTCAGGCAACCACTCTACTGATTGAGCCATATCCCTGGCCCCTACTCTGGATTTTTAAGACATAGACTCATTATGCAGTTGAGATTGGCCTTAAACTATGATTCTGCCTCTGTCCCCAAGCACTGGGGTTGTAGTGTGGGTCAGTATAATTATGGATAGTTCCCTCTCACACTCAAAAGTGGCCCTGGTGGGTCTGGCGAGATATCTCAGCATTTGAGCCCTGGATGCTCTTGCAGAGGACCCAGGTTCAATTCCCAGCACTAACTAGCATAGCAACTCACAATTATCTATAACTCCAGTTCCAGGTGATAGGCAAAATTCAGCCCCCCTACACACAAACACACTAAAATAAAACTGGTTCTGGTGATAAGTTATATCATCACTTTACCAAGAGCATCTAGCTAAAGCTATAGCACAGCTAAAACTCAACAAATCTTTGTCAAATAATTAAAACTGTTAGCACTGAGTGGCAGTGCTAAGACTATTCTGCATCGGGGTGCTGTGGTCTACCATGCCCCTAATTCCAGGTACAACTACAAGCAGTGATTCACAATCAGTCACAGCATCACACTTTAGACTGGTAGCATCTGCCTGGGTAATGCCAAGGTGCTCCTACAGGGGATGGGTCAGTACACTCTAAACTCACTGGTGGCTTCTAAACATGCTTTTGAGTCATGATGTCAGAATACCATAGAGGACTTGCAGGCAACAGCCTGTCAAAAAGGACTTTCCTTCTTGGGCATAGCTTGTGTGGCATTCTGTGATATTTAAGGCATGCCATATTATAGTGACATGTTGATGGAATTATAGCCAAACACCTTAAAACTGGAGGCAAAAGGACAGGTTATACACCCAGAGCTCCTGTCCTGCATCCTCTCCAGACTGCTTCTGCAGAGGCATTGCTTTCCTTTTCCAGAAAACAAGACTCACACAATCTTATATTTCACAGACCTCAAGAAAGACAAACGGTCTGCCAGATATTTTTTTCAGCCTTTGCTTGTTATAATAATGTACTGAAGCTCATGCAAGTTAATGTAATTAGTTTTCCAGAGTCAAAATGTTTCCTCTGAAGTATTCTCTCTACAGAGTAAGTCTCTTCTCAACTAGTCCTAGTGTTTGGTAATCTGGCCTCCAATAGTCAACTGCACCACACAAAATTTCACACCTGGGAAAAGTGCAAGGCCCATTGAAGGTTTTTCTAAAAACAAACAAACAAACAAAAAAACAACCTAAACTAAAACCACTAACATGCACAGCTGACAGACGTAATCAGAAAATGCTCTGGAGGATTCTAGCTCCATTCCTGGATACCATTTAAATATGGCACTTTCCCATTTCCAACAGGATCTAGATTAAAAACAGAAGGAATCACCCAAAATGTCTGCTTTCCATCACCCTGCGCTTCTCCTCTGCCTGGTGTCTTCGAGTGGAGCACTACAGTGTTGTGGCAGTCTGAGCTGGGTATCACTGGACAGCAGTTTCCACTGTGACCCTCTTTGACAACTCAACATCTGTACTGAGACACCAAGTGACCCACTGAGCTTGCTTCCAAGACTCAGCAAAAGACATTACAGTATCCTTGTGCTTCTGCGCACCACACACGATAGCCATGACTTTCAAGTGTCCTGCCTCCTGAGGTACACTCTGAGCAGAACCCTGGCCATACCAGGTCACTGGCACAGGAGAGAAGCAGCAGGGACCTGGCACTGATGTCTCTACTTTCTTTCTTCCCTTCCTGTTTCTCTTTTGCATTCTAGCCATGTGTCACCTGTGTAGATGCAAGGGCTGGACCCCATAGCAATGCTCTTGGTCACTCAACACCTCCTCTGGCTAGCATCTAACTGGGCTATCAGATTTACCAGAGAATTGTATCACTCTCTAGTGAGTTGACAGGCAGTCTTCAGAAACTGAAATCCCATTTGCTACCATTTGTTGCTGCTGTTCATTTTAAAAAATCTTTTAAAAGCCAGGCAGTGGTGGTGCATGCCTTTAATCCCAGCACTTGGAAGGCAGAGGCAGGCAGATCTCTGAGTTTGAGGCCAGCCTGATCTTACAGAGTGGGTTCCAGGAAGCTAGGGCTACACAGAGAAACCCTGTCTGGGGTGGTATGTGTGGAAATCTTGTATGATTTAGGTTGTTTGGAAACACTTAAAGTAGTAACAGTTAAGGTTACTAGAAAGAAAATCAGATTTCCCACCATTTTGCCACCATCGCTATTTTACCTTGACATCTATCTGCTGGTTCCCCTTTCTTTTCTATTGCACAGAAACATGCTGTACTGAATGAAATCAAGGCTCTGGAGGCAGAGACTGAGGTTGGTATGGTGATAATCATAGCACTCAAGAAGCTGGGGTAGGAGGAACAAGCTTGATACTAGCTTGAGCTACACAGCAAAACCCTACCTCAAAAGTCAAATGACAATAACAAAACAAACAAACAACAAAAGCCATCCTACTAGGACAGGCTCCAAAACCACAGAGAAACCCTGTCTCGAAGAACCAAAAAAAACAAAAACAAAAACAAAAAAATCCTACCATAAATAAGATTTTTTTAAAAAAGTAAAGAAAATAAGAAAGTGGTGTCCACTAAATAGACTGTGCTAGATCTGAGAGGAAAAGCTACTTAACAAAGGGTAAGTCTTTAAAAATAGTTTTCAAGGAATGTAAATATGCAGCCTGTGGTGGAGGTGTATTTCTTTAATACCAGCACTTGGGAGGCTGAGCAGGTAGAATTCTGAGTTCTAGACCAGTCTGCTCTTTTAGAGCGACTCCAGAAAAACCCTGTATTGAAAAACAAAACAAGGGGCTAGAGAGATGGCTCAGCAGTTAAGAGCACTGGTTGTTCTTCCAGAGGTCCTGAGTTCAATTCCCAACAACCATATGGTGTCTCACAACTATCTGTAATGAGACAGGCAGACAGAACACTATATATATAATAAACAAATCTGAGAGAGAGAGAGAGAGAGAGAGAGAGAGAGAGAGAGAGAGAGAGAGAGAGAGAGAGAGAGAGAGAGAGCGCTGGGGGTGGGGAGCTGAGAAGAAGGCTCAAACAATAAAGTGTCCGCTGTACATGTGCATCAGTTGGATCCCCAAACCCACATAAAAAGCTGAGTACTAGTGCTATACCCGTAATCCCCACACTGGGGAAGCAGGGCTTGCTGGCCAGCCAGTCTAGCTGAATCTGTTATGCTCCAGGTTTAATGAGAGACCTTGCCTCAAAAAATGAATTGGGGGACAAGATGGCTCAGCAGGTATGAGCACTTGCCTGTTAACTCAAGTTTGATTCCCAGAACCAACCAGGTGGAAGGAGAGAACTGACTCTCACAACTTATCTTCTGATCTCCATGCACTACCCTCTAAAATTAACTCATTTTTAAAAAGTGTAGAGCAATGGAGGAAGACATCCTATGTCAACCTCTGGTCTACACATGCACATGCACCCACATGTGCATACCCCACCCCCACACCACAGAAATGCAACTGGAAGAGAAAAATGATACATGAAGGTATGAATAAAAGAATTATTCCTTAGCATAAGTAAGATAACCTTCTAGAAAGAAGAAACTGGTAAGGGATACATCTGAGTCCTAAGCAGAGGCCCTGATGACATCCACTGGTGGTAGAAACATCCAAGTAAGCAGCTTCTATTTATAGAAAGTCCTTTCTGAAACTGTGGGCCATCCTGTACCATTCAGAGCTGTTGCTATGGAAACAAGGCATCCTCAGGTGGAGCAGAGGTGCTCTAAGAATCCTCAGCAATAGTAACAATGTGGCTCCTTCTCCAGGAAGATGTTCAACAGCTGCAGAGGCTACCGAACTCCCTGCTGCCCTCAGCCCACAATGAGTTTTCCTCCATCCTACAACACACTGGACTAGCAACACTGGCCAGGGGCCACAAGGGCACCCATCAGATGAGAATCACTGGAGTTCACACTTATTCCTCTGTAGCTCATTCAGAAACCCAGACTATAAAGGTGCTTTATTTACAGCACAGTTTTCTTTCCAAGTCTGTGAACCAAAAGAATGTGCCGAGCAAGGGGAGTAATTCTTACTTTATTTGCTAAAATGCTCTGTTCCACATAAGTTACTTTTATTTACGATTTCTGCAAACCACATTCACTGAAAAATGTGAACCAATGAGCACGGTTTTTATTATTTTTGGGACACAAGCCAGAAGTTAAAATCCTAAGACAAATGCAAGGGCACACTCAGCAGTACCCAACAAGACTAAATGTTTACATTTCAAGTTCTGTTTCTCTATCACCCACAGCTCACAACACACCAGTCTTGAACTTGCAGGCATGGCCAGAGTGGTCTGCACAGCTTCTCTGGATGGAATGCAACCCTTGTTGAGGAGCGTATTCAACGCAGCCAGTCCAAATGGCAAAAGAAAAGGAAATGTTTCAGAAAAAAACCTCAGCTGCTTTTTGCTGAATAAAAGGTACAGAAATTCAATACTTTAGGAAACAGACACACTCAGAGAACAGCCTGTCCAAGTGTAACAAAGGACAGTTTCCCACAAACAGCCAGACTTCCAGCACCAAGTCAGAGGTTCCTTACTTCATCCTAATTCCCCGTATCTTACTATTACTTCTAATTTTAGACACTGAGTAACTCTCATCTATGCAATGGGTGTTTGTTCAGGAGAAAGCATTGTATTGTGGCAACATCTGGATGTCCTGTCAAGGGGTTTGATGTGCATGCCCTCTTCCTGCTTCACTTTTGGGAGCTCAGTGATTCTCGCTAGTTTAGTACCACTAGTGGGGCATACAGTGGACATAGGGCTCTTTTCATCCTAGTTTTTCTCTTTTGGTCATTCTCAACTATGCTGGCAGACACCAGGCTTATGAATGCCATCACAGTCACTGCTACTGTTGGGACATGCATGTGCACCAGTTAGCTTCTTGGGCTCTGCAGCAAGTAAAGGTGGCTCCCAACTTTGCTTGTAAGTATTTGTTATTATTTCAAAAGATAATTGGGGACCAGGGCTACAGCTCAGAGATGTAGAGCGCTTGCCTGGCACATTTGGGACTATGTGTACCATACTCATCATTATACAAATAAAGAATGAGGGGCTGGAGAGACGACTCAGCAGTTAAGAGCACATGTTGCTCTTTCAGAGGACTCACGTTCAGTTCCCAGCAACCACATGGTGGCTCATGAATGTGCTGCTAGGCTGGCAGTCAGAGCCCCAGGCATCCTCTACCTACCACAGCAAGCTTGAGGGTTACAACCACGCACATGATCACACATGGCTTTTTATAACAGTGATGGGGATTTAACTTAGGTCCTCTGCCTGCAGAGCAAGTATCTCCACCCACTGAGCCATCTCCCCTTCTTTTCTCACTTTTTCTGCTTTACTAAAAAACAAAACAAAAAAATGGGATCATTAAATCTTGTCAGTAGGCACATTTATAGAAGAAATGTCTACTTTTACTGGAGGTTGTAAAATAAGTGGCACTCAACTATACTGCCCAATACTCATAGTCTAGGTATCAGAATCAGAACCAAAGAGGAACCCAGAATCTTTCTAGACTCCACAAGACAACAGGGAAACAGAAATCAGAATTTTAACAGGTAGAGGCAGGAGGTTCAGGAATTCCTTGTTGTCCTCAGTTACACAGAAAGTTTAAGGCCAGCTAGGGCTATATTAGACCCCATCTCAAAAATAATAAAAATGTAAAAGAAATTAGAATCCTAGCCTGTGATCCAACACTACTGAGAGGATACGTTTTTTTGTTTTTTAAAAGGTTTAATAAAGACAATTTAAAACACCAAACAAAAACAGACTAGAAAAGCACTGTCTCTGGTTTTTGTAAAATTAATCTCCCCAGAGAAGACCAGGGAGTCCAAATCAGAGCAAAAGAGATGTTACAGCTTTACTTCAGACCCCTGAAAACCAGGCATTATTAATGGAAACACTGACAGAAAAACCATAGTAGAGCCCAGATTGCTCCAAGTACTGTATTTCTGTGACTAAAAGAGGGAAAAGAAAAGGAGGCCAAGTTCTTACATGAGCATGGGGTTTCAAATTCCCACCCATTGTTTTCACACAGCTGAATGACTTCTGTGTCAAGGATTTGAGACCCAGGAAAGCTCTGTCTGTTGGCAGAATTACTGCATTTTTTTTCTAAGACAGAGCCTCAACCTGAAAGTGAAATTTCCCTTGCAAAGCCTCTAGCTATCAGCAATCAAAGTAAGAGTGACAGTTACAGTAGTGATGAGTGACATTTTCCTCTTTAGATGTAGACTCCAGTTTCAACCTGTTTTTAATGTGGAAATGGAGAGGTGGCAAGGGTTATGCTGAGCCTTTCTTGCAGACTCCTGTAGAGTGTCAATTTGTGCGGGAATGGCTTGGAAGAATAAGGAAACATCCCTGTTCCTGCTTGGCACATTGGTTTTCTAAAGTTATTTTCAATAATTACATCACAGATAAGTGGGACTTATGTTTCGATGCTCATGAGGAAACAGCTGGACTTGGTAACTAAATCAAAGAGATATGCAGGGCGGTTTCAGTTGGTGTAGGGAGAGCATCTCTGTTATTAGGCACTGACATCAAAGCTTAAGACAATTGTCTTAGTTAGGGTTTTTAATGCTGTGAAGAGACACCATGACCTTATAAGGGAAAACATTTAATTGGACTGACTTACAGTTCAGAGGTTCAGTCCATTATCATCATGGTGGGACATGGCTGCATGCAGAAAGACATGGTCCTGGAAAAGTAGCTTGAGGATTCTACAACTGGATCAGCAGGCAGCAGGAAGAGATACTGGGCCTGGCTTGAACATCTGAAACCTCAAAGTCCACCCCCAATGACACACCTCCTCCAATAAGGTCATACCTACTCCAACAAGGCCACCATACCACCTAACAATGACACGCCCTATAAGCCAATGAGGGCTATTTTTATTCAAACTACTACAACATGTATGGCTTATCCAAAACATAGTTTTATGTATTAAATGAAGGCAAAATAGGAAGCACACTTATGTTAATGTACTCTGTGTTTGGTCAAAAAGAAAAACACTAACATTTTGAACAATATGGAAAGTGTCTCTAAAGAGATCAAACATCAAGATAAATTTTCCAGTAGTTTTTACTGAAATGAACTGAAAGAAGGTTCCTGAGCACATGAAAGGAAAAACAAAATGTGGTAGGTCCAGACAATGCAATATTACTAAGCCGTGCTCGCTTCGGCAGCACATATACTAAAATTGGAACGATACAGAGAAGATTAGCATGGCCCCTGCGCAATATTACTAAGCCATAAAGAAGATGAAGTTCTGATACATGACATTAATATGGATGAACCTTGATGTCTTAGGGTTTCTATTGCTGTGACAAAAACAACTCACCATGACCTGCTGGTGACAACATCAGAGGACCAGTAGGTGGCAACTGACTTCAGCCCACCAGAATGCAAGGCACTGATGGGTAACTCTAGGATGGGCAAGGCCCCGAGGGCTTTGGCTCCAAAATATCTCTTGCTGCTACTGCGCCTTTACATGTTTGCCACTGCCATTTTTCTCTAGTATCTGTAGTGGTATGAATGGATGTGAGGGGATCCCTACTGCCTTTAATGTATGTGATTATCTCATGGTTATATCACAATCTGCTGGGCATTTTTACCTGTGAATTATCATGAAGATGATTTCCTCTTAAGCTGTGCTGTTTAACTGAAGTAATGATTTTATACAAAAATAGTGTTAGTTTAAATAGAATTTTGATGATTAAAACTTTTCAACAAATACAGTAAGGGATTATGATGAGGTTAGTTTAGTGGGAAAATTAATACAGGTAAAGGCAGGATATAGTGTTGCCTCCACCCCTGATAAAGCAGGGGCTGCAGAGGATAGAAAACAGGAACAAGGGAGTATCACGCAGCTAGGACTTACGAGTTTCTCTTAAGGAGCCATATAGACTGTGGCTTAGGTTACTGATTAAGGAAAACAACTGAGTTCCAGAAGCTATCCTAGCTCAAGATGTTTAATCTTAATGTTGGGAGATATGTTCATGGATTTTGGTGTGTACCATAGCTAAAATCAAGTTTTAAATAATGACTTAAGGTTAGGTTAAGATGTTTTGGTTAAAGGCTTTGGGGTAGAAAATCTTTGGTGACAATTTAAAGTTCAGAAAGACACATTTTTAATAGTTGAGAAAGGGACTCATTGAGGTCAGGGAACAAAACAATGGCAGCCTGGCTATTGCTAGCTGATGTGCCTTTCTTGTTAGGATGGGTTGGTGATCAAAGGTAATGATTAATTCCTTACACCCATTTCTGCCCTCAGCTTGTTGATATATATATATATATATATATATATATATATATATATATATATATATAAAACCTGTTGGCTGGTTGTGGTGGTGGCACATGCCTTTAATCCCAGCACTAGGGAAGCAGAAGCAGGAGGATCTCTGTCAGTTCAAGGCCAGCCTGGCCTACAGAGCGAGTTCCAGGACAGTCAGGGCTGTTACACAGAGAAACCCCATCTGGAAAAAACAAAACAAAACAAAAACTGTTGATAAGTGGGTATGCACCCTGAGGATTTAAAGTAGAGCTGACTTTTTCATATAAGTTTAAATTTGTGACTGTTTTGTGATTTTTATTAGACTACCTTTTGAGATAAATAATAAAATGATTAGTCCTTTATTTGCAACTGAAAATGCAGCCTGCCAGTAAAAGAACTGGCTGAGAAAAACTGGCATGAACTGGTATGAAAGTATGCGGGTTCTTGGGAATAATTTGTTTTTCACCTGTAATTTGTAAAATGTTTAACCATATTAGAGAAATGGAAAACATGTTGTTTTTTACTTGTATTCATTGCTATCATTTACTTAAAAGATAGAATGTAACCATGTTGTAATTTTTATACTGCTTGAAAGGTTTTGCTGGGATATATAAATTGTAAGGGAAAAATAAAGAAGACACACATATACATAACATACATACAGCCATACATACAGCACACACACACACACACATACACACACACACACACACACACACACACACACACACACACACACACACACACACACACACACCAAATATCTGAGGTCAGTCTGGACCACACAAAGAGAGCCTATCTCAAACACACACATACACACACTATAAATCTCTGTGAATCTGTCGAATCATTGCCTACCATGACAAGGGGCAAAAGTCCATGAATGAGTATGTGACATGCTAGGTACATTTAAAAATAAGCACAGTAGTGCTACAGAGCTGGCTTGGTGGTTAAGAGCATTTCCTTTTCTTACAGAGAACCCAGGCTCGGTTCTTAGCATCCACCACCTGCAACTCTGGTTATAGAAGATCCATTGCTTTCTATAACCTCCATGGACTCCGTACACATGGAGTAGACACATACACTCAGGTACACACATACACAGAATGAATACATACATACATACATACATACATACATACATACATACATTATGCACACACACACACACACACTGAGCCAGAACCTTATCTGCAAGACAACACAAGTGCAGCCTCCACTTTAGAAAGCTTAAATGTGGCCATAAGTCTTCCTCTTAAGATTATTATTCTCAGGTAATGGAGAGATGATTCAGTGGATAAGAGCATTTACTGCACAAGCAGGAAGACCTGAATTTGTATCCCAGCACCATTGGAGGAGGAGGAGGAGGAGAAGGACGAGGAGGAGGACGAGGAGGTCGAGGAGGAGGACAAGGAGGACGAGGAAGATGAAGAGGAGGAGAACAAGGAGGAGGACGAGGAAGACGAAGAGGAGAAGGAGGAGGACAAGGAAGATGAAGAGGAGGAGGACAAGGAGGAGGACGAGGACGAGGAAGATGGAGAGGAGGACGAGGAAGAGGAGGAGGAGGAGGAAGAGAAGGAAGAGAAGAAGGAGAAGAAGAAGAAGAAGAAGAAGAGGAGGAGGAGGAGGAGGAGGAGGAGGAGGAGGAGGAGGAGGAGGAGGAGAGCGAGAGAATCTGGGGCTGAAAGAAACAGCATTTCCTACAAACAAAAATAACATATTCAGACTCACGCTTTTTTTACTTGACCAGGACGACACTCGATGTTGCATACGCCACACTGCCCCCATGACAACAATCCTTTAAGGATTGACACAAATGTTTAGCCTTTCTTAGTCATAGAGGAAAGAAAAAAAATAGCTATTTAGATTCCTCATAAGGTGTTTGAAAATGAGGGTTTTATAGGATAAATGGCAGAACTTCAATGAAGCAGCAGGTGTTTCTGCAAAAAAAAAAGAAAGAAAAACAAAACAAAAACAAAAAACAAACAAAAAACACCACACTACCAGAATAGGGTAAGTATGGTGGCTCTTATCTGTAATCCTAACATGTTAGAAGATGGGGCAGGAGGACTTAGACAAGGACAGACTGGGCTACTTACAGAGAGACCTTGTCTCAAAACAGTGAGGGAGACAATATGCTATCAAGGCTCATGTCCAGTAAAATGATATGTTGCAGTAATCAGATTAATCCTAGTTACACTCCAAGCTAATCTAGAACCCTTGCTTAAATTATAGCTAAGTGTTCTAGAAGCATTCACATGGATTCAACTTGTCAGCTAAAGACAGGGCACCCTTAGACTCTGCACCAGATGAAAGAAGCCCTGGTTAGGGAATGGCAGCCAGGCTCAAGCAGTATGAGGGACACTATGCTTACAGAAGGCTGACAGCCAGGCTGTTCCATGAATCAGTGCTGTCTGCATTCCAGGGACATGCTCTGACCACAGCAATTTTAGTGTGAAAACATTCTGAAAAGTAGAATACGAAAAAAAGAGATACAGATAGACAGACAGACAGACACAAACACATGCACACACATGTATGCACATGTACACACACACAAGATGGGGTTGGAGGCAGGTGTTGTGGTTTGCACCTGTAGTCTCAGCTACTGGGGAGGCTGAAGCAGGAGAAATGTTCAGCCATTCTCAGTTACTAATGGGAAATAACAGTTTAACTTAGAAAAGCTTTATCATTTTTAAAGTGGTAGGTTTAGGATGAAAAAACAAGTAGCAGTTGTTATTTACTTATTCATTACAGACAGATCCTCAGTATGTAGCCCAGACTGGCCTCAAACTCATGATCTTCTTGCCTGAGCCTTCCAAGTACTGGGATTGCAGATGTGCACTGCCATGTCCCCCTGGCATGATATGTGTGTGTATATATACATCCTTTAAAACTATTGCTATTTATTTCCTTAATTAATTTCATCAATCAATGGGCTTAATTTTTGTGGTGGTTTGAATGAAAATGGCCCCCATAGGCCTATAGGGAGTAGCATTATTAGAAGGTATGACCTTGTTGGAATAGGTGTGGCCTTATTGAAGGAAGTGTGTCACTGGGGTTGGGTTTTGAGATTTCAGATGCTCAAGTCAGACCCAGTATCACTCTGTCTTCATGCTGCCTGATGATCCAGATGTAAAACTCTTAGCTACCCTCTGCACCATGTCTGCCTGCATGCTGCCATGCTTCCTGCCATGATGATAATAGACTAAACTTCTGAAATTAAATGTTCTCCTTTATAAGAGTTGTGTGGTCATGGTGTCTCTTCGCAGCAATAGATACCCTAACTAAGACAATTTTCTTCCCAAGAAAGGATGGAAGAATGCTATACACTAAAACGATGGAAAGAAAAACACAAACACTCCTGCCACTACACTGCTAAGAACAAACTCAGCCACATACTAATCAGTACCATGTGGTAAAGCCCTAAGCCCAACCTGGTTCAGTTTGGAAACATTTCTGTCCTAACGCTTGAATTATATGAGGTGCTAATTTTCATGATAAAAAGCAGTGAATGTTTTCTCCTTGGAAAGTAACACACTTTTGTGATTTGGTTCATAAATCTTCATATCTCTATTACAAGTGAAGCAAATATTATTAATCTTCTATTCTAGAAAAAAGAGATTGGGAAACACAGCTTTGTGCCAGGAAAGGTGTTGCCTTGTCTGTCATCCTAGCAGAGGCAAGAGGATCAGGAGATCAAGACCAGTATGGCTACATAGTGAGTTCTTGCATAGCCTGGTCCATAGTGTGAGATATAGTCAAAAAAAAAGAAAAAAAGAAAAAAGGAGGAGGAGGGTCTGGAGAGCTGGATCAGTAGTCAAGAACACATGCTGCACTTCCCAAGGATCTGAGTTATGCTCCTAGTACCTATGTTGGGACACTCACAACTGCTTGTAACTCCCAGAGCACCCACACACATATTATACACACTTACATAGACATATACATACATAAAAATAAATCTTTAAAAAAAGAAACAAGCAAGCAAGCAAACCAAC